AATTTGCCCCCCCCCCCCCCCCCCCCCCCCCCAGAAAGAAAGCAAACGCAGTTTCCTTCCAGAAATTCTAGAAAGATTGATTTCTAGCACATTCTAAACTGAAATCTTGTAGGAAAGGGGCAATAAATACTGTACTTTCAAGAGCTTCCAAAACAAACAATTCAATAATTATATCATAAATAATGAGTAGTCCTAATGACATGGAAATAAATCTTTAAATAAATATAACTTTCCTTCTGCTGAACCTGCCATTCTACTAAAAAGTGACATTTGTTTCAAAATATACAATGAACATGAGTACAGGAAATGTAAGAGGAATGCTTCCTTCCGAATAAACTGTTTGTTTCATGCATGTTCTTGCAGATAAGAGGAAAATTCTTTCAAACATACTGTATGTTGGGAAGAAAGGCATATAATCTAGAATGGAGCTACTGAATTTCTAAGAAATACATCATGTTTAGTATTTTTTAAACAGGAAGATTTCTTTGCAGAAATTTTTCCTTTTTGATGACATTGGAATGCTGCACCTTCTATTTTTTCTTCATACATATCAAACAAACCCTATATTGTCTTTACACAGAATGATGGACAAAAATTTGTTATGAGATTAAATTTGTTGTAATGCGATTTTCATAACATTTAACCTGTGGGAAACTGCCGGGATCAATAAATAAATTCTTTGTAATGAAAAATGTGCTATAACGAGATTTGTTGCAATGGAATTCTACTGTGTGTGGAAAAACCACGAAAAGAAAAATATCTGACGTATGAACCTCGCACTGAAAGAAAGTACAGCAAGCACAGTATTCGAAGCGTCGCTGCTTTCAGCGAGCCCTTCCCACATGTTCAGCATTTGTTTCTCCCCCCCAGTAAACGCAGTTTCTTCTCAAGAGAGTTTTCTCACATCCCAAATGATGCAGACAGAAAGAGACAGAGACAAAGACAGACACAGACAATCGCATCCAAGTCATCCAACGCATCTTCCCCGGGGTCGGTCAACACAGCGCACGTGATGATGCGCGCGTTGCAATGACTGCGCTCGACACGGGCGAGTAAAAACTCGGCGCAGTCGGAGCGAAAGCGACGCCTTTCCCTTCCTCTTCTTCTTCTTCTTCCTCCTACACAAACTTCGTTGCGAATGGAGTGGAATGGGGTGGAATGGGATGGGAAGTGATGCGATGGAATGGGATGAGGTGGAATGGAGTCGAGTGGGAATAAGCCGAGCGTCAGGCGACGAACGACTTGACTTGACTCGACTCGCTTTGGTTCCATGGATCCAACTCCACGACACACTATGACACTAACTTGTCGGATGAACACGAGTGTTGAGGCCGCGTGATGTGCGTATACCTATATAGGCCATGCTGTAAATACTCAGGGTTTTCCTCAGGACGCAAGAAAAAAATCAATCAATCGTTGAAGGTTTTGCTAAATTACAGTTGGCGTTCAAGAAGCTCCCAGTGTCTCTAGAAAATCACGAAATTAGAGTTCGGATGTCCAAGATTCATGCCGGATTTCCTTCCGTGTAGTCATTCTAAAATTGTCAGAGCGTTGGTTCAGAAATTGAGATTTTTTGAAATAGATCCAACGGAGTTTTAACGATTGAAAAAATAATTCATATAATTATTCATGTAATTATATAGAAATAATTCTATAATTTTCAGAGCGTTGTTTCAGAAATTTTGAGACTTTTTGAAATAGATCCAACGGAGTTTTAACGATTTAAAAAAGAATAATTCATCGGTATAACCCCAAAAGTTGGCAAAATTACAGTGCTGTTTAACATGCTCTCCACAGATTCTAATGCTTATTTTCCTGCCATAAATCCAACGATCAAAACAGCTATGAAAATCGAGTTCCGTTAGTTGATTAAGCTGCCCTTCGACAGCGGAAATAAAAATGAATCCCTTCGATCAGGTTGTTCTTCAATGTCAGGAACAGCAGAAAATCACAGGTTGCCTAACCAACTAACAGAACTCGAATTTTGGCACTGTTTTGATAGTAGGATTTATAGCATGAAAATGTGCATCGAAATCGGCGGAGAGTAGGCTTGCTGAACAGTACTGAAGTGTTACCAAATGATGGGGTTATACGAATGAATTTTTTTTTTCGAATTGTTGAACGCCGTTGGATTCACAGTATTTCAAAAAGTCTCAATACTTATGATCCAAACCTTGTATATAACAGGTGGACTTTCTCCGTTACAAAACTGACGGGACCAGAGAACATTTCTTTGTAAATAACCCACTTAAAACCGGGAGAAAACTTCATGAAAAAAATAAATTCGTTACGCAGAGAAAATCGTTGTAGAGACGAACACGAGATACCTGAAATAACTCATTGCAGTGAGCTTCATTCCAATCAGATATAAGTGCAGAAATTTCTTTCTGCCGAAATGTTAACATTATCAGAAACCCCTTCTTAAATTGCCATTCTTTCCGTGGTGAAACACGCGCAATAAGGAACAAATAATTTTGAATATGCACACTAACAAATTCTATCCGGGTTATTTTTAAATTTAGCTAATTCCCAACTCTCCAACATGTAACACATTCCACTTGGACATTTTCGAGGCCACTAAAAATCTACAGTATAATACAGTAATCTACCCAATTGAAAAAGCTTTCGGAGGCAAATTTTCCTTTCCGAAAATGTGTTCCTTTCGATTAATGAATTGTTGGTTCCAAACTTAGGGGAACTTGATGTTAAGACTGAGAGTTCAGTCGATTAATTGTCGATGAATGTCTCTTGGATCCGCTAGCGTTAAGCGACGAAACGGAATAAGTGAAAGTTAGGCATTCACTGTATAAATTGACGAGGGCAAATGTTCCCACTAGACTAAGACGCTGCTCGACCCGCGAACATTCATCACACTTTTTATACGCGCATTGCAGAAGACCATCAACTTTCTTTAATGATTTCTTGAACCACACGTTCGACAAAAGGAATCCACATCATCTTGATAATCTCAATCCAGGTGATGGAAAAAATATTAATAAAACTGACTCGGCAAGCAGTCGATGAAAGATGCAAATGTTCAGAAAACAAAGCTTAATGGAAATTAACTTACGCAACAAAATTCTCGGCAAATTTTCTTTTAAAATTTGTTTTAAGCTCACCACAAGAGCTCGTCGTTGTAAATTTTCAAAACTCTAGCCTGATTTGTTCAAATTTCACTGTTTGAAAGAATTAATAATTTTGAGAAGTACTTTCAACCTTCAGTCACCACTAAGACAGCAGAAATCCCGATAAACTTACGATTTAAAATTATTCGGGCTTTGATTTACCTGAGCTCAAATAATAAACCGGCATTAGAGACCGGAATACTGTAATTATAATTTCAGCAGCTTAATTCAGCTCTAATTAATGTAAATTTCATGAGCATAAAAAATGATACAAATTCGAAAGCTATAAAAATATTAGAAATTAAAAATGAATGCTCACACGATGAGCAAGTAACGGCAGGTACTACTTCCAAAATGAAAGTTCATGAGTAATGCTCGAGATTTTCCGGACTATTGGCGAGGGTCATGTCAGGTCATTGCTAAATGGCCTTATTTTGAAATTCTGAATTTTAAGAGTTTCACATTACTGTATTTCAATACCGTACACTTGGTTAGCTGCACAACTGTACCCATTCATAAGTCCGGAAAATCAAACCTCAACTGATCGCGATTTCCTTTTATTTCAAGACTAATTTCGCAAACCAAGTACATTTCAAAATTATCTTCCGTAAAAAAAAGTAATCGAAAGTCCATGTTGAAATACCATCACGAGTGTTAGAGGGGAAAAAATTATGAAAAAATTGAGTGGTTTTTTAATTACCGTGTAAAATAGGAAGCTTTCTTAAAACGCCGAGAAAATCGTGAAAGACCGGGTGATTGGAAATTCTCACACCAGATTTCCGCATGGAAAATCGCAATCCATCGACAACTCGAGCATGCCGTCAATGATTAAATGAAACACCCGAAGACAGCTTAATCGCATCGTTACAACACAACACGCAGCTCACTTCATTAGCACAATTCCTTTTCCCTTTCACTCGGTTGCGCAACGAGACGCAATTTTGGCACCGGGCAGGAATACTGCAGTTTGAATAAATCGTTTGTTCGCCTGCCCACAACCACATTTCACAGAACGTTACGACCCAACAAGAAAAAAAAATAATAAAATAATAATCCGTGGTTTAACCTAGTGAACAGATGCTGAGGCTGGAAATGAACTTACAGGGTGCAAATCTCGGTCGGTCCGAAGCAAGTAAAATACTTACTTTTCAAAAAGAAAATGAAAAAAATGTTACCGAGATTTTGTTGCCTGGAAGCGGTCTGCCACAAATGTTTATTTAGAAAAGTAAGAACAAATTAAAAAAACCCCGAAAGGAAAAGCCCCCCGTGAATTGTTTTCATTTGAAATGTCCTCTTGAACAAAGTGATCAACTGCTGCCAATCTGCCATGGGCATGATTTCAAGACAAATTATAAGCAGACTCATTTTGGGCTCCTCTTTTTAGTGCCACGGATTGTGCACACCAATATCAACGGTTGTGCTTTTGTTAACTCTCGGACTCTTTTATTTTTATATCGATCGAAATGGAGGATCCTGCGTGGGTTTCTTCTGCACACTCATTTTTATCCATCTTGCAGTTGAAAAAGAAATTATTATCAAATTTAGGAGTAATTTTTCAAATTTTCTGCCAAGCATGAGAAGTGAATAATAATATTCCCATTGAAGTCTCTAAAAAAAAAAATGCATTCCGAAATTCTGCGATACTAATTACTGTACGTCCTCTCAGACGTCCCACTGATTTCACGCATCGCCGGTGGATTCTGCTGACTTTATCAATCAACAAAACTCCCATAAATCCCGGAATTTTGCACACATCCCATAAATGGAGGCAAGGGGGTTTTCGCTATATTTTTGAGAATCTTACCGGTTCACGCAACGGATCCTCGCCGTAAGAAAACGGCAGCATTCTGAAGCGCAAAACGCAGTCGCTGTGAAACGGGTCCACATGCCTGGTCCATAGCCGGCATCAAGGCGGGCCCAAGACAATTTCAAAAACAAAACAAAAATGACGCAGTTTTGTCAACTGCTATTCAAAACCCGGTGATGAGCCTGTCGTTTACGAAAACGGATGACCACGGGGGTTGGGGCTTGTCGGGGGGCCAGTGGGAGAGCGTTTTGCAACCCCCCTTCAGCCCCCAGCGCTCCGAATCTGCACTCGCACTTTTGATCCGCAAAATAAAAAAAATTGTGTACGACAAAAGAGCGCTTCTCGCAGCGAATCCCGAACGAGAACGTCGCCACCACAAATTCTTTCTCGTCTTCTTAAACTCCTTGCTTTTCGACAGACACCTTTTTTTTTTACCGTGACTAAACTCGGTGCCCGTCGCTCGCTTACTGGAAGCGCTTCCGGGAGGTGGGCTGGTGCAAGTGCCTTTTCCTCCTTAGCGGCTTAAAGAGTGCTAAAGCGAAACGAGAGCATAGTGAACTGGAGAAAACTGGAAAATTCAACGAATTATTTATCGCAAAACGAGCGCAGTCCAATTTTAGCAGACTGCAATCTCTTTTTAAAACAAATACATGTAAAAGAAATGCGTTTCCTCCCACACTCGGTAGAACTTCTGCATTCCGTGAAATACTGCATGTTCGTACTGGAGGAATTCGCGATTGTAAAAGCCGTGAAAGTTATTTTTTTTATAAAAAAAACACCACTAGAGACAATTTCGGAAGATGAAATAGGTAAAAATCTCACAAGATTTGATGCCGAATTAATTGCTTGTGAATATTAGAGAGCTTTTCTAAAACTTTACTTATTACGTATCTTGACCTTTTGACTTTAAAGGTTAGTAAAGAGCACCTTATTTTATTTTACCTCTTGGCTGATTGTAACTTACTGTGTTCCTGTTTTACATTGTGTTTTCAAGCTAAAGCATGTGTTTTGTGTATTTTCTGTGTTTTTAAAAGTGTAGTATTTACTTAGTAATTGGGTATAATTCTTATCTTAGCTGTCACTGTTACCTAGGTTGTTAGTATTTATCCATTCTAAAAGGCAGCTGAAAGGACCTCACCGACGTTTTTTTCATACCGACATTTTCTCATGGCGTTCGACACAGTCACGTCTTTTTTTTCCTGTCACCCTCACACAATGCACTCACTTTAGAAAATCCCTTTGTTTCGAATGGTCGCAAATACTTTGAAAGATATTTTTCCGAAAGGCCACTGAAGCAATTTTGATCGTACTGCATCGAATTCAAAAGACGTTTAACGCGT